AATCTTAGCCACCGAGACGGACAACAAGATGGCAGCTTCAGCAGTGGATCCAAAGCCTATCCACAGGCTTGAGGAGTCACTGATCAACCGCATCGCTGCTGGCGAGGTATGTGTCGCGCAACATCGATTTGTACTAATGTCTAATGTATGCACAGATCATCCACAGACCTGCGAACGCTTTGAAAGAGCTACTCGAGAATGCTCTCGATGCGGGAGCAACGCAGATCAAGATCACGGCGAAGGATGGTGGGTTGAAGCTTCTGCAGATAGTAGATAACGGGTCGGGCATACGCGTGCGTCCCTTTTCCGACTTGCACATCACTGGTTAACGTTCATGCTAGAGGGCCGATCTTCCTCTGCTTGCAGCGCGATTCTGCACTTCGAAGCTCTCCACGTTCTCAGATCTATCGAAATTGCAAACGTACGGCTTCAGAGGGGAGGCACTCGCCAGCATCTCTCATGTTGCACATCTCAACGTGGTCACGAAGACCAGGGAGGACTCTTGCGCTTGGAGGTACGACCTAAATACTGTTTTACTTTTCGATACATTTTATATGCGTCTAAGAGCAAGTTATTCAGATGGTTTACTCGCACCTGCTAAAGCGGGCACGTCCGCTGACCCTAAGCCCTGCGCTGGTAACGATGGCACGACGATCGCCGTTCGTTTCTCCCCTATCCAGATCGACAAAGCTGACTCTGACGAAGGTCGAAGATATCTTCTACAACATACCCCTTGGACTGAGAGCACTCAAATCTCCTTCCGATGAATATGCGCGTATCCTGGACGTCGTCCAAAGATATGCTATACAACCCAAGCGTCTCCTTCCTGTGCAAGAAGGTATGAGTTCTTACCGTCTTCCTCTATTGGTATTGAACTCGACTTACCAGACTGGATCAAACACTGCCGATGTCTCGACTCCCTCCTCGCGGACCGTCAAGTCCGCCATCAAGACCATCTACGGCCCAAACGTTGCGAAAGAGCTGCTAGAGGCGCAAGCAGAAGCTGGGCCCGAGGACGAATTCGAGTGGCAAGCCGAAGCATGGCTCATAAGCGCCAACTATCACGCCAAGAAACCCGCGTTCTTGTTGTTTATCAACCGTGCGTGATTGGCGGCCTTCAGAGTGGATGCATGCTTACTTTCGACTAGATAGAGAGCGCGAGAGTCAAGAGAGCAGTTGAGATGTGTTGATACGCATACATTCGGCCAAGCAGCTCGGTCTGGCGTTCCGGGCCAGTCTGGATATCGATCCAAGCAAAGTCGATGTCAACGTCCATCCCACGAAGCGAGAAGTCCATTTTCTGGATGAAGAAGCTATCACCCAAAAGGTAGCCGATTCTATGCAAGTGGTGTTAGCGGCGAATGCCCAATCAAGAACCTTTCAATACCAGGTGAGGATTATTCTTCGCAATCCAATGATGGTTCTCATCGTCTCGATAGACTGTTCTCACCGGTCACCGTCCTTTCAAGTCACAGGGCAAGATGAAGCGCATTGACCTGCGAAAAGAGCAGATCGCCGCTGGGTCTGACGAGGACATGGAGAGAGAAGACGAACTCGAAGATGAGGAGAATGAGCAAGACCTGGACCTGGAACGGCCCAGGGCTGGGCCGTCCTCCTCTCTGAAACCGTCTCGCAAACCCTCTCAACCGTCGTACAAAAAATCCGAAACGATCTTAAGACGAGAACCTTGGACTCGATGTTCCCCGTTCTCCAAAGCAGCTCGGAATCTCAGTCGTCACAGCCAAATATGGAAATTGGGAAGAAAGAAAAAGCACCTGCTATCTCCGAGAGTCAATGTTTCTTGACTAGGGTGCGGGAGCTGAGGCAGCAGTGAAGAAGGCGAAGCATTCACGTACGGATTCCTCCTGTTGCCCTGCGATCCAGCTAATTGGAATAGACCTGGCAGAGATCATCGGCGAGCACACCTACGTGGGTATCGCATCGATGAGTCTGTGCCTCTCGCTGGTTCAATCATCCACCAAACTATTCCTGATCAATCACGCGGCTCTCTCGTACGTGTCACTTCAACTTCCAATTCCATTAGCTTATTTGATCACAGGGAGGAGCTTTTCTATCAGCTCGGGCTGATGTAATTCGGAAACATTGGGAAGCTGACTCTCGAGCCTGCGCCGAGTGTGGAGGAGCTCGTTAGGCTCGCTGTGGGTGCAGAGGCGGCTATCAAAGAGCAGGGGCTGAACCCCGGAAAGATCATTAAGGTGCGTCCCGCAGTGTGTCAACCACCACTCAACCTAACTGGCGCTGCTGCAGTCCATTCTCAAACCCATCATGCCTCAAAGAGGCATGCTGGCAGAATATTTCTCGCTCAAGATCACGTCTTCTGGTGAGGTGTCTACCCACTCCTCCTGCCCGGATACACGCCAAACCTCGACCGTCTCCCACTCTTCCTCATGCGTCTCGCGCCGCAAGTGAACTGGACGTCGGAATCCGAATGCTTCTCCACCTTCCTACGGGAGTTAGCTTATTTCTACGCCCCTGGTTCTGTTGTACGAGAGAAGGAAGCCCCTGCGCCGGAAGAGCAAGAGCAAGGGAAGAGGAAAGGCGAGGAGTGGCAGATCGAGCATGTGCTATTTCCCGCGTTCAGGAAGTATCTTGTACCTCCTCGAGGGCTGCTCGAGAGGGACATGGTGCAGGTTGCAGAGTTGAGGGACTTGTACAGGGTGTTTGAGCGATGTTAGGTTTCTCTTTGCGTTTTCATTAGGTCTCCTAATTCCTGTGTCGAATCCTCATT